AGTAGCAAGAAACTGGAAATACTTTAAGGATCATAGATGACAAGCAACAGAACATGAAGCCCAACTGCAGTTCCATACCTCATGATCTAATTCAGTTTGTGGATTTATAAGTAGAAAACTACCATGTAACTACAGGGTCTTGATTTTACCATTGGCAGTAGTAAGATGTAAACTTGGCTACTTTATGCAGTTCTGATGTCCTTCATTTTAAAAGGATGTTGGGAAGTTGAATGATTGTAGGGAAGGACCACAAAAATGATTTAAGGACTAACAGTTGCAGCCCCAGAGCTACTTAGCTTTTCAGAAACTATTCTGAAAGCTGATTACAGCATTTAACTCACAAGAGAAATGGTAGGCTCTTCCTTTTTTGTTGTTGCCAAGTCATACCTTGATGCCTTCCCTTCCAAGCAATGTATTTTAGACTAATGCATTTTAGACCAATACCTGCTTTTTGGCTCAGGAGACAACAGAGTAAGTGAAAACTGATGTAATAGGTTGTGCTACATTTAATGGTGGCTGCTACTAATCTAAAGGTTTCCAAATCTTAGGAAATAATACAGTTAATAAAATACAGCCAGAGGAGTAAGGAAATTTGGAGAACTGCTAGGCCATTCATCATTTTTCTGTAAGTTAGATACAATCTTGAGCATTAGGTGACTGATGTTGTAATAATCAGCACTGCTACATCTACCTGGGTACTAATATTTTCATCAAAAAAAAAAGTCCTTGCTACATAACTTTGAAGGAAAAACTGTAAAATATTGACCTGAATCTAACAACTCTCTTCATCACAACATAACGGAGCAGTAAATCACCAGAACAGGGATGCAGACTTTTAGTTTAGTTTTGGTTTTTTTTTCTGGTAAGTGCTTATTATTTTCTCCTACATACATGCCACATACGCTGGGTACTTTGTTATATTAATGGTACAGGTGATGGCATCAGTATTTTCTCCATTCCACTGAGCTATATACTCCTAAATAGCTGAGCGCAAGTGCATGTCCTGCATTTGAGGTTCATGTCTCACTCATGTCCTCGTGCAATTTTTGGCCAAGACTGAGGTGCACAGCTTCCTTCTTTTCACCACATTCTTGAGATAGGGAAGTAAAGACTAACAGTGGCAGGAAGGACTTGGCCAAGTACCCAATCCATCCACACATACTACAATACTTACGTAGCCAATGTGACATAAAATACATTGGAGGGTGCCACAGATGTTTAATTAGCAACTTCTTAATTACAATCTATAAACGGTTTCCAACAACTAAGTTAAAAACTAGGAGAAAAGCATTCCTGCTAACTGTGCTGTCAAAGAAGATTAGACACTGAGAAATGTGCGGAGAAAAGCTATTTCTTAAGCTCTTCAGAGTTTTGGTTGGTTTTCAATCTTCAGGAATCTTGCATCTAATTTTCTCTTGAGTAGGTCTCCAGGAAGCACACAGTACCATCATCCATTCATAGCATCTCTCTGTTACGAAATACTTCTACATGCTTGTGCTAATTCCTTCTGTGATACTGTCGGCATACAAAATTATCACTTCTTCTCTTTCATTTTAATGCCTTAAAATTAAATAACTGTAAACAGATTTTACAGTTTTCTAGCAGAGCCCTCAATGACTTTACTTAACATTAAAAGCCAATGGACCGGTAAAACATGTGCATCAAGTTGTACCACTCTTCCTAATTTCTATTTATATCTGCAAACTGACAAGAAGCTACTCCAGATAATCCTATTTATGTGCTTAGGTGAGCAGGACCAGTGAAGAAGCCTTACGAACTCACTCACAGCAATGTAAGGGGCTCCAGATGAATCTTATCAACATAGGGATCATTAATTCCATTAGAGGAACAAAACAGCATCTTTTTAGGAGGGTATCATGACTCACTGCTGTACTCTTCCTCTGTACAAAAACTCTTCCTCTGTTTTTGTATACTGCTTTACTCCTCATCTGACTGACAGTGCTGTGATGGGTGAGATGATATTAGTGAGATCTGAACTAAAGCCCCGGACTATATTTTTAAGAAGAAAATATGTCACTTCTGTTACTTGGTTATAATAGCGTCAAGAAAGTTTTAAGTATATTATTTGAAAAGTCATCATGCAGCAGATTGGCTGCTTTGTGACAACATAATGATTTTATCACCCCTAAATTTTCTCTTTACATTTCAAAAAGAAGAGAAAATCAGGCACCACTATTTTACTATTTTACTATTTAACAGCATTAAAAGTTATCTTACTGGGATAGCTGTCCAAAGCACTTTTCAGAGGCATCAATTTAAATTACCTTTTATTCAACCACAGCTGCATAATTATTATTATGTACTGGATACAGCATATGTCTATAAAATTAAAAAAAAAATAAATTTACTATTGTCACTAGAGATAAGTGTTTGTATTTCAGATGCAGACTAAAAATTAACAGAAACTGCTGTTTTCAGACACTTGGGTGTAAGAGAGAGTATTATTTTTAGGGAAAAATAGTTGTTTGCCTTTTCTTGCTAATATTGCTCCAAGTTCAGAAAAGAGGTGAACAGGTTTTGTTTTATTTCAATTAAAAAAGCTATGTTAATACAAGAATAACATTATATGGGTGATGTTATACAGGAATTAACCAGATATTTGGGTTAACGTCTATGAATCTGTGTAAAATGAACAGAGGACTCAAGGCAACATGTTACCTTGTCAAAATATTTCACTGGAACATATGTTTGATCAGGGACAATTGAGTATTTATTAATTCACTTTCTTTTTCACTTACACCACTGTATGAGAAGAATCAGGCACATGGAGCAAAAGCTGTGCATACAAATTCATCCACCTGGTGCTACAGCATTCCTTGAGTTAGGACAGAGGACACATTGAGCAATTCTCACATTCCGCATGTGAATGCAGTGGTTTAGGTAGTGGTTTGTTACAGGTCTTTTTTCAGTTGCTGGCTGTACACTATCTACACTGCCTGCTGGAAAATTGTCTATCCACACAATATTCTCCATTCTCTCTGATTTCTGTTTTCAAAGCGTAAATGGGTGAGTAAAACAAATACACTTCAAGTAGTCTATTTTGATGGAATAATTGCTACTATTGTCACAGTCATCTTTCATCCTTGTAGGTAAAGGACCTTGAACAATGATTACAGGAATCAGACAGCAGCAGATAAGCACAAAAGTGTTTAAGAACCTTTGTTTTAAAACTACCATTTGGATTATGTGGGGTTTGTTTTATTCTATTTATTTATTATTTTATATAATGTACTCATTCCTCAAATTCTTTCCTCTTCCTATTTAAGAACTGGAGTATTGCTTCTAGGCACATTCCCCTTCTCCTTACCTGTGAAATATATAAAGCCTCCGTTCTTGCCAGCCTGTATTAAGCACTGCAATACAATTATCCTCAGTCAGTGGACTGTTATCTCAGGAAATTGAATTAGACTTTCTAGCTTAGAGAACATCAAATTATTTACACAAAATGTTATAGTTGAAACAGATCCAGATTAGAGTATTAAATGATGGTTAGGGTAGTAAAGACTAAAAAGATCAAGTGACTGATTTGAAACAGAACCAAAAGTCAAATCTGAATCTGAGGGTAGCTGTTGAGAGTCTTATCAAGCCGGCTATTGCCTATTCAGAAGCATGGAAAATTGGTTTTCTATTTAGCCTTTCCTCTAAATTCCAGCTATAAAAGTTTCCTCGAGGAAGGTTTGTTTGGGACCAGTAGCAGTTCTGAGGGAAGTTTCAATGTCGGCTTTTCACAAGCACAAGCTATCAGAATTTTCAGTTAAGAAATATGAAACTGAAAAAAACTGAAAAAAAAAAAAAGATTCCTTAGACTGATGTTCAAAAACCCCCTAGTAAGTCCTTCTGTTTTGGTGTCTTGAACATAATGGTTACCTATGGAGGCAGAAAGGAAGTGTTGAGCAAATCACAGAATCATATAAATTGGTTCTTTTCCTTAAAAAAGGTGCAATATATTTAATTTCTCTCTTTCAACACAAACTACAAACCTCTGGCATTTCCTCTCAGAAAAGACAATCTTAATTGGCTTACTGCCCTTATAGCTGAAACACGAAATGATTAGTTAGCGTGTGCTATGCATTTTAAATCAATACAGTTTGTCACAATTATTATTTAAGACTACTCTGTCAAGAGGATGTTCATGTATCTTTCATCCATGATGGCTTTATCATATATATTCCTGGTTGTTCTACGCAAAACAATTGCAGTTTAAATTTGCTTTATGTATTTGATTTTACTTGGATTACCACTCTAAAATGTGACAAGGAATCAACATGGAACAATGCTTAAGACATTTTTAAGGTAAAATATTCCCCAATACATTTACAAGTTTTCCAATAATACTTACCCCATATCTAGATGTAATTTCTTGCCTCAACCCTCCAACTTATTCCCGTCAGTTCCCATTCACCATTCACTCCTCTGACCATTAAAGTCTCAAATACATGCTGGTTTAAAGCAGCCTCCTGCCAAGGGCAGCTTGTGCTATATTTGAGATTAAGCCAAGAGGGAGAGAGCACCACTGCTCCTCTCCTGGGGGTCCCTGAGCACTTCCAGGCCCCCTCCTGTGTCCAGCTGCTAGGGCATTGATGAGCACCTGCAGGTCAGGGGAGGCCCTGAGCCAAACTTGCTCCCACTGGAATCACAGCAAAACTTGGCTGAATTCAGAGGGATGGAAATGAACCCAAAGGACGAAAATATAAAAATAATGCTGTGAGATCCTGATGTTGGATAGTTTCTTCTGAATTTAAAGTGAGGAAAAAATGAAGTGAAACAGAAAAAGGCAATGACAGGTATAAGATGCTTATGTTATCCCTCCCCAAAACAAGTAAGTTTTTACTTCTTTGCCAGACAGAACTGTAGTGTCTGTTGTCATTACTCTCCTTTTTCATTATTTAAATTGAAATAATTTCTGAAAAACATTTCTTCCCTTTTTCCCCATATACAGGCAAAATTATAAACAGGTAGAGGTAAGTATGAAATCCAACCTTTATTCCACTTTGAACAAGCTTGTGTATATCCAAAAAAGGTTCCTTGAGTATGTCTCCTTCAGGACTGAAAATCTTCACATATCCTTCTTTCTCAAGAATAAAGAGGCGATGGGATCCATCCCCACTATGTACTGCTCCAACAGGCTGCCTCAGTCCACTCACAACCTCCTGAATACAGAAGCAGTTGTGCTTGTGTTTTCTAAAATAAAACAGAAAAATAGTGAGAAATTTCTTCTTTCTTGTAACTGTGACACAACAATGACCCTAAGAGGTAAGTGTTCTGTAGTAATATTAAAAACAGTTAAACAATCCAGAGTAAATTATTTCCTTAAATGTATGTGAGCAGATGATACTGAAAATCACTTTGAACTTCCCTTGAGCAAAATTTGGTTTGTACAAAAGAAAACCAATTCATCATATCTGAAATGTAGAGGAACAGGAGAGAAAAAAATTGGTAAAAAAAGGAGAACAATTTGTAAACACAAAATTTCTACTGTACAATAAATACAGTAAATTCCAGCAATTTCATAACATTTGGCTTCCAAACCCCATTTAAAAATAATGGCTTATGATGGGACAACTCTAATTTCATTATTTTCACAAATAAAATTACATGAATGAAATAAATGGAAAGTTGTGAAATAAATATTTTACTAATAAACTTATTGTAGTTGTTTAGTAATATTAAATCAGGTAGAAATGACTTCCTAGAACTCCATATGATCCAGAGGGTGGACCATAACCAAGATCCACAGGGTGGATCAAACCAGGATTCTAACACCTTTTCAGCAATGCAAATATCAAACGGTACTGAAATATTGAAGCTAATGTAACTTTCTCTTTGACGTATGCTAGCGGCAGTGAAAGAAAGTAACATCTGGAAAACACAGCTGCTGAGCATAAGCACACACTGAGCTGTTTCACTGTGAAAACCACAGGCTTTGCTAGGGTTTTTTTTCAGATTAAACAGCATTTATCTTTATGAACCTGCTGATCTCTTCCTCTTTGTCATATTCTTCCATGTGGTCCAGGGAGTTAGAAGCTGGCCCTCGCACTTGTTTTCTTGGAAAATCTGGAAAGCATACACCACCATCCTTTCTTGTATAGTAAAAGCAAAACTCATCAGCTGTAGTTTGGAGAAAACCTTCAAAATGCAAAAGAGCATACAAATATTTAGTGTGTTGTCATGTCTGCAGTTTCGTGCCATCAAGCTGATCTTTAAATAGATTATATATTGAATGAAGAAAACAAGTAATTTTAAACAAAGTTCTATCTGCAAAAAAAGTCCTGCTCTGAATAAATACAAACTGAGTAGATTACCTTTTATAGTTTATTCATCTGTATTAAGCCTTATTTTCAGTGTGCTTAAATAAAAATACCAGTTCATTCAAAACGACACTACAGTTCACTTATTAAAACATTAAGTGACAAAGTTCAAAGTTGAGGCTGATACTTTTCCCTGATTTTAACCCTATTAAGTGTCTTATCAGCTGTAAAACAGCTTGAGCAACTTTCATTTAACCTCTCTTTTTTCTAAAGTGGCTTGGTGTACTAAAAATTTCAGTTAAGACTTCAGAAAAAGGCATGCAGTAAACACTTTGTGGAATGCTGGCAGCAAAGGACATCAGTCAGAGAGGTAAATAATTAATTGTCTCAGAAAGTGAGAAGTACTGGTGAAAACTGCACTGTGTTGACATGCAGGTGGCCTCTCGTTAACTCCCAGCACTAGAGTGGGCAAACACAGTGCCCCATGGAGAGGTCTCCTCAGCTCCATCCCCTGAAAAGAGTGCTATGTTTCATGCTGCATTGGAGTTGACTTTAAGCTGGCTGGGATGAAAGGTGGTCTTTAGGTTTTCGGTTAAAATGGGAAGGAGTTTGAAGACCCAGGGAAGCAAGAAGTTCATAAAATGAGAGCCTCTGAGGAAAAAACCTGCCTTTATACTGAAACTACACTATGTTTAATGACAGCAGAAATATCTATTTCTGTCCACAAACTTATTTCTAGTAATTTCCATCCAGTTTTTAATCTTTAGTATTAAATCTAAGAAGACAGATAGATAGAATTCCGCTAGTTATATAGTTATACGTTTACTATTCTAACATAACATTGTTAAGATAGTATGTCTTACGTTACCTTCATTCCTTTTTTTGCATTATTGGCATACTGTGTTAGGATGTAGTATGGTCCAGGACATAACTCACAGGATACCCGGAATTATAACTTAATTGGAATTAGAGCCTAATTTATGCATGGCTTTACCACTCATGAATAAGGCAGTAATCCATAGATCTTAGCTATAAAACCTCTGGCTTACAAAGTACAATAAGAGCTGATCAGGGACAGCTGTGTTACACTGAAAAATGCCAATTTCTTAAAAGAAAAGCTTTTTCAGAAACATTATCAGTTTCGACAAAATTTTAGTTAACAGGATGTTTCTGGTCCAAACTCAAACTTCTGGTCTAAATGAAAAAGAGAAACAAACAGCAAACTTCACATCACTATACTCCAATGTCTTGTAATTAGGGTGTTTCATTAGAAAGAGGAATATTCAGGTCAATGTCCCTCATCTGTCAGGCAAGAGGTTGACCCTAAGTCTCCCATTTCCCAAGTAAATGTCCTAACAACGACTTTATTAGCTATCCTGGGGTGGTCTCTCTGTGGCTTTCTTCATGGAAAATTTCGAAAGAGTTCAATTTCTTCCTTATGTGGAATAGGAAAATTTTTTAGATCCCAGAATTTTTGTGGAGTGGAAAGCCTTTCCCACCCAACTATACTTCTTTTCATATGCATCTTGAAAAATATTGGAAAAATAACATGACAAAGCCTGCCTTTGGTTCTATAAAATAGTATCTGGAAACACATGGTAGTGCGTTGTGGTGTAAAAGTTTAATTACCATGATTTGGAGCTTCAGTAAATATCGTCTCTGAGTAGCTGGTTTTAATTTATAGTAGTTATTTGGAGAAAATGGGAGATATAATTTCAAGTGGAACAACTGGAGAGGAACACTGATATAATCGCATAGTAGTATTCCAAGGCTTGTAGATATAATGCCAAAGTCAAAAGTAATCTAAAATCTTACTGTTGAATTATTTGACTTAAGAATACACAGTTTTGTCCTCAAAAATTTATTTCTCTAGGCACAGTAGGTCATTCAAAAAAATGCAATAACAAATTGGAGGTGTACATTTTCTGTGGATTTCTAGATTTTTTCAAGTAGACCATCTACTATTTACTAAAGATAAACTACTCTTGGCTTGAATGTTATCTTTAGTCAGAAAAGCTGAGAGCACACTCTGATCATATCGTTTACTCGGTCCATGTTCATTTCAAATAACAATCAGATGCAAACCTCACTTGACTAATGCCTTATGCAATGCCTTATCTTACATGTAAGACTAAGCCCTTTTCCTAAGGAAATATTTTATCATGCACTTAAGTACATATTGCACTGCCGTTGCCTTTTGCTATTTAGCAAACCCACCAGCAGGTTCCCACAAAGGAGAAGGCTTAGGTTCATCTTCCTTAGAAATGCTTATAAAAAGTGGGGTGAAATTGTAAATACTGTAAATACATTTTCACCTGTGTATTAGGGATGGAATTTTGTCCTATAAAAGCCACAGTAATTTACCAAATAAAAATAAATCTGGTTGTGTGTGTGGCTAGAATTCAACTTACTAACAGCTTCACCAAAGACAGTTAGAAAAACATTTGCTTCTAGTCCCCTATCTGCTTGTAGCCATTTAATGTTCTCTTTATTGTGCTAAAATTCTAAGGTCTTTAGTGTAGAGTTTGCTATTTTGTTCAGGATTTGCACAGTGTCCAGAAGAATGGTCCCTGACAAGTGCCCCTAAGCACCAGAATTGTTTGGAGAAAAAAGAAAGACCATTTTGCTCAGTCTGAGTTTCCTCAAATACATCTCTGTCACTGTCTTCTATGAGAACTATGCCTAATAAGGACTGCAACGTTTGGTCCTGTGTGAATTCCTGTACTTACTTTATTTTAAAAGACTCCTACGTATCATTACAAATTTCCTGCCAGCTGTGTGTTGACAGAGCTGTGCCTGTGTTAAACAAGAAAACTGAAATCACAAAGGAAGATTAAACATGAAGTTTAATTGATTTTGCATTTCTGTGCTTTTAAAACTTTCTGTCTTGCAAAAGAGAACCAAACTACAGACTTTTCAGTTAGGCAGTCACAGTGAAGGATTTCTGCATTCACCTTTATTAAAAACTGTCAGAATAAGTTGCATGATTTCAATCCTTTTCAAAAGAAAACTGCTCTCAGCTGGTCCTGACCTCCTCCCTTCACTCTTATTTGCAGTCAGTTATTCTTCACACTCGTCTTCCTTCCTGTCCTACCTTCACCGAGATTCACTTCACTGGCTTCCCTGTTTACCCACCCCCCCTCCTCTTCTCTTTGATACACAACTCAAATGTCATGGTAGCATTTGTCCTGGTCTTCACAGCAAGTCAAGTTCCTATTCACTCCCTTTCTTGTTTGAACTGCATACAGGATTGAGTATCATCTACCTGTCTGAGTAGACCTAAACTGGCTTAGAGAGCATCTGGAAGTCAGGCTCACCTGCCATATTCCTGCTACAACCTTGAGCATACAGTTTTGTGTAAAAGAAGCATTTTCCTGGTTTGACTGGGTTGGGTTTCTCTTTTTCCATTTTGCGCTTTTGACAGCTAGATGTGAATTTGTTCACAAAACCCACATTCTCCTCACTCTTCTCAGCTCTCAGTGACAGCTAAATCGAAGAGATTATGCCAGATCAATAGTTTCAAAATGTAGTAAGTTCAGTGTAGTAAGCTCACATCATTTCCCACTGGTTTTCAGGTGACTAGTGGCCCTCTTCTCATAGTCACACACTGCATATTCCTGCATACACACAGTGCCAGGGTTAATCCTCTTGATGTTAGCAGCAGCATCATTATAAGCCACTACCATATCCCTGCAGCTTGACCATGTTATCTGTAACTTTTAGTTGACTGTGTCAGAACTTCTGGAAGTGTTGTGTGAGTTGCAGAATTTCTCAGATTTCTAGTATTTTGGTCTGGGGTGCCTCTGGCATTTAAAAATTCTTATCAAGCATCCGTTCTGTTAATGCCTGGATTCAGATCTGGGCCTGGACCTGAATTTACCCGCAATCACCTGGAAGGCATTTCTTCAAATGAGAGCACATAGTCCAAAATCTGTCCAACATCCTTGAGTAGGCAAAACACACTGTGACTGTGGTTTGTTCCTTAGAATATGTCACTTCCACTGACATGGATCAAGTTTCTGCTCATGCCTAAAGGGAGAATCAGACGTGCCTTTCTTTACTAGCTAAATGAATAATAAAAAGTCTTCTCTTTTAACCTTGGAAAACCTAAAATTCACATTGATTGAAAATATTTCATTAAGGCACTTAACACCAGTGTCTCCATCAGTAATCACTTTAACTGAAACTTACAGTAAAGATCAGATGAGAAGAAATGGGAACAGTCATCTGGAATGAAGCAGGGAAGTTCTAATCTCATAGACATTGTGAAACATTACACCCTTTTGTGTTAACATATCCATAGAATCCTAATTATTGTTATAGTTCAGCTTGAATAAAGAATCGGGTCCACTTTTTCTTTGAATATTCCTAAAGAAGCCAATGGAAGTTCTGATAAAAGCCAGAACTGGTGGGTAAACTGCTGTCTTCAAAAAAAATTAACCAAGGATCTGTTAAGAGTTTCCAACTTTGCAAAAAGAGACCAAACAATAAATGAATTTCTGGAGCTAACTCAAGAAAAAGCCTGATGTAGAAGTCCCCAGTCTTCTTGCTTAATAGGTACCGCTAAATTTTCAATTCCAGAAATGATGCTGCTATCTTATGTCACAAATAATATTTCTCATTTTTGCAGGACTTAAGGGATAAAATTATTTTTGTAGTCAGTAATTTCCTTGAACTCCTTTGTATTGGCGTTCAGAAACAGCGCTCCCTAATTGAGGAAGAGTAATTATTTCACTTTTTAACAAATGCACTCTGAATCACTGCCAGAGACCTTGGGTCTGGGGGCCTGATAATTTCCTTTGTTTAGTCCTCCAGGCTAAGCTGAAAACACAGCTTCCACATTTTTGGGGTTTTTTCTTTCTTCTGCAATAAATATTATTATGGCTACATGGGTCTCACAAGTAAAATAGAAAACCCAAATAAGTTATGTATATTTTAGAATTTGTAAGACTATTAAACTGTATTAAAATCCTACAGGCCATCTTCTCAAAAAGAGGGACCTGAACCTTGATTAATACCTTCAGGAAATCCTAGTATACGTATCAACCACTATATGTACCACCATATGCATATCAAATCACCAAATTAACTCTGTTGGTGGGTGTAAGTATGCAACAACTTTTTGTTAGTACAACCTACTTTCAGAACAAGTATTTAGAATTATTATTAGCATCTGACAGATGTAGGAAAAATCCTATTTTAACTCATGCTAAAGCATGTAAGCTCTTTTCCTGCAAAGCACTGTGCTCTGCCCAGTACTAGAGTTATGCTTTCATCTGGTTATCTTTCAAGGCAACCTGGGTGGTCACAAAAAGCACTTGACATCTTGATGCACTTCAGCAGTTTTACATATACACAAACTTTGTAGAAAAATAAATTTGTCATTCGTCACCACTATGTTGATCTGAGGAGTAAGGTTCCTGTGGTCATAGCTCCTGTGCTGCTGAGCCCTTTCTCATTCTCTCTCCTTCCACCTCCTCCTTCTTTCTCCCTTTTCCCTCTTTCACTTTTTCCAATTAAACAAATTGTTTTTCATAAACACAGAATTTCATAAAACTATGAGGGACTTGCTTTGCAGAATATACTCATCATTTGTACCAGCTACAAACTCATGTCAAAAAAACTTTGCGGTGACTTCTTATATGGGTGAAACATTTAGAATATCTAATCTGTTATCGCTGCTCAGCAGGCAGTCTTGGCAACATATGATCTATGCTGCTTTGCTTTGGGGAATGTGATAAAGAGCAAGAAACAGCTGGTTTAAGAAAGCCTTAGAAATATCTCTTAGTTTATAAAGACAATAATAATATTTTCATATTTGAATGGGTTGAGATACATGTTAAACCACAGTAAAGGAAAAAGTAAGTCAATTCAAAATGTTTTCTCAAGTCAATAAAGGAACACTGCAAAAAATCTCTGCACTCTTGGGGTTTCAGAGAAAACAAGTATACAGCGTACACACGCAATTAAAAACCCCTCCTCCAAATCTCATCCACTTAAACTATCCCCTTTACCCAAACATGTTTATATTACATTACAAAGCTGTGCTCATATGTCAAAAATGACTATTCACAAATTCATTTTTCATATGGCTATCAACTCTTTTTTCCAGTGTGTGTTGCTAGTGACAAAAAAAAATTTAACCAGTTTAATTATTTTCTCCTGTGTGCCATTATTTATAAGTAGTGTTTGGACAGGGAAAAAAGCATAGTTTAAAAATGACAGTCTTAAACATATAAATAATTTACTATTGAGAATACCAAAGATGTTATTTAATATAATAGTGTATTAAAAACACTGTTTCTAAAAGAACCATCTTCTGTGGTTATTTTGTTGATATAGTTACAAGTGATAGTACACATTTGGTGATTGCATTAGACAACACAGGTCAAATTCTGGGTTTGGTTAGGTCTAGCTAAGTCTACTGACTATAGTGAGGAAGTATCAGGTTAGTTAAGAATTTAGTCGTTAACAGCATGTTGGAAGTGATTCAAAGATCACAGAAGTCTATCGAATAACTCCCTTTGATTTCAATGTGCTTTAAACCCCACAGAAAAAACATCAGTTTCTAGGGTAACAAAACCAGAAAAAACACTTTACTAATCAGCTTTTAGTCTACAGCAAACAGCCAGCATCCTTTATTTCTTGCATTTTAAAGCTATCATTTAGTATAGCCTTTTGGATGGCCAACTGCTTGTTTACATGATTCGAATGAACACAGCAGTATTTCAGCAGAGGTAATGGTTTCAGGTGCTTCTGACAACAAAAAAGCCTGTGTTTCATGGACAGTTTAATAGGAAGGTGGCAAGAAAGAGCTCAAAATATTTATCTCACTACATAAGATCCCCTGTGAAGTCCCATAGATATTCTGCCTTTGGCTGGGCAAAACCCACCCATGATATCAACGGGTATTTTACATAGTGAGGAGCTGGATCTGTAACCCCTCAGGCCATATCAACACTTTGAAACAGACATCCTTTAGCCCCATAGCTGGTTATAGGTTTTACCTGGTATGTGACCTCTGCAAGTATAATAGAATTCTTTACAATAGTCTTTGCACAGGTAGGGAAGAGTTAGTTCTCTTTCAGGTGTTTCCCCTTTTTCAGGTGAGTGGAATAGGTTCTGAGCATGAGGTGAGCAGTGTGCACACTTGATTTCATCCAGTAGCTTCGCACATTCTGTGTTGTTGGTAACAGAAGGTATCTGCAAGCCACAAAACAGAGACAAATAAACATATGACCTATTTCTCCATCTTACACAAAAAAAGATTGCACAATCTAATGTAATAAATAATGCTAGCAGAACCAATAGAGTTACTATAAATGCATCATGTTTCAATGTCACTGTTCTGGAAGTGCAAAAATTATTACTATGAAATGCGCAGTATGCCATTAGTACAGTGAGATCTTGAGTGCTTGCCTCTTTCTCAGATAAGAATCATAGTACTCAAGTTATTTTATGGACTCATGCCGGCAATCTCTTAATCACGTAGGCAATATCTGAACTAGAGATCATTTATATCAGGAGGAGCTACATGAGCAGGCCTTTTTCTTATGAGAAATACTTAAAAACCTAACTTGTAAGGTGACCTATTTAAATATTTACAGACTAAAAATAAAAATTCTACCAGGAAAACACACCAGGAAAATCATATTTAGGTATTTGTTAGATAGGTGTATCTTGAACGATACTGCAGTTTGGTTACTGAAACGGCTGCTGCCAAGTTCAGCAGGTGCCTTGGATTTTTCATCTTTAAATGCTGCTCTGCTTTTTGCTCACTCTCATGTAAACTACCTGGAGGTGGGAAAAGCTGTATGTTTTCAAATATTTATTTTTATAAGTGAAAAAAGTAGAATCTGAAACTGTAACTTTGCCCTGAAAAAAGAGCATATATTATGCGTAGAACTTGAAGAAGCACAAAACCACGACTGGTGATGTGTTTAAGTAAACACTGGAGCCTAAGAAGCACAATGTCATCAAATCGTGAAAAATAATGGAAAACAGCATAGTTGTCTTTATTAGTCTTTGAATGCAGTGCACTTTGTTAATCTGTTGTTAACCACATGGATTATTTTTTGATCATTCATCCCAATGGTGGGTAGTGGGAAATGTGTTCGCAGTTGAGAGGGACTGAATCTGATCCAATGTAAAATGAAAGCTCAGGTTCTTTCTGTTGTTTGTTTAATGCAGTTATAATCAAAGACTGAAAGACGCTTGTGTTAAGAAATATCAACACGGTAAATATTTATATTTTGTGAAGCTTGTAAATATTTGTAAACAGCTCATTTGAAAATATCACCACACTTTTTCTCCAGTTCGTCTGAGTTGATTTGCAGAAGGACTTTCCAATGTCACTTCCTTGCAACATAACATGGAAGGAAATTATCTAAATTACTTTTGATAAAATGATAAAAGAAGTTATTCAGTGCATGAAGACTCTTGATACATTTGAGTATGCTGTCTCATAGGTCAGTTCTCTTCTAGGATGCTCTACTTTGGTAAAACAGTTCTGTACTCAGCATTTTATTTATGGATATAATTACATAAACCTCAAACACTTAAAAGAAATGCACTCTCCATTGTTTTAAGCAGAGAAGTTTTCGAAATATTGCGCAACATACGGCCTGTACAGGTGCACAAAAAACTATTTAAAGGAACCTTAATTTAGAAGACAAACTCTTACCAGGAAAATTCAGTTTTACCATATACATATTGTCAAAAGGCCATCTGAGTTTAGTGGCATAGTTGGACCACTGATTAGAAGAACACCATTTGGCTTCTACCCTTATTCTGAAAGAGCTGCCATCAGCTTCAAAAAGAATTCCCCCAGCTTTGCCAGGATCATTACATGCATCAAATGTTCTGTTCTTCAGACTATCTGTTCTCAGACTGTCCTCAGCTTCATAGCACCTGCAATTAAGTAATGTCTCTAACGTTAATCTGCCATGCATGGTTTATTAGCTGTCTTCAGACCATTCTTGGGAATGTAGCTGACTTAACATCTTTTTGAAAGGGTTCATCTTCTTTTTTCTTCTTTTTTTTCCCCAAACCTTGAAGAAGACAGTCATTAATTGACTGCCTGTAGCATGTATGGCAAAAGATTTGCATTGGCCCTGAATTCCTTCCATAGCCCCAGCCCCTTCTTTCCTGAAAAAGTTTAGATTCTTTTTTCTAGATTGCTCATTTGGCCATAGCAGCAGAACTGTTAATCTTAGTCTTCTTTCTTCAGTTTCAGATGTTGTTCTTGATATGGTAGATGTAGGGGAAAATGCTTTGAAGACGAGCTAAAAATATATAGATAACTGCAATATACTATAACCAAAATGCATATTTACTAAAACTTTGAACTTAATACTGCCTAGGAGTGCAATCCAGGTAGCAGAGAACAGGATTCATATGCTTGCAGTAATTCACACTGCTGAGTCAATCTTCTGCGTTAGCTGGACGTTCTTAAGGCATGGTAGCATCCTGACCTTGGTACTTTGCCTTGCTGTGGTTCTGATGGGCAGTGGCCTGTTATCACTGGGTCAAGTTGCTGTCTGTCAGACAGAACAAAATCTGAAGCCAACAGAGGATGATCAAAATCACTATCCATAAATGCCACTTTTTAAGTTTTTTTGTTTACATCACCAAGAAGCTGGGAGCTCCCCTAAAATAAGGATGAAATGACCTCTTTTGGTGTTTCCACCAAAGGAAAGTGTATCATGACTACAGACTCTTCAGGGTACTTGCCTATATTCAGTAGTCACCTGCTTTGCAAAAGCCTCAGATGTCAATCTCGGGCAGTAGGCTGTGTCACATATGATGGAATGTTTAGAAGTACAAGTAAATATGAGATATTACTAGGTAAATATTCAGTGTGTTTATTGAATTAACTCCATGGTGATGCACAGAGAAAAGAGTTCTAGTGGAAGACTCCAGAATGCATTGTGAAGAGGGAAAAAAAAAACTAAAAAAATTACAGGATAACAAAGCTAATTTACTGTTTCTTGTGGAAAATGTAATTGACGTTGCCTGGTGATACAGGAGAAGTAATGCTTGCCAACATTTCAGTCCTCAAAGTTAAGACAAAAGGGTCCTAATCCCCCTGAGCAGCTGCTATCCAGGAATTAACCACAGGAATTCACCCCCTCATGTCATTTCTGAAATGAATCTTGGTCATATAACAGCTAATCGGAAGATTAAGGAATGAGAGTCAATCAATTATCTGAAAATCAAGTACAATGTTATTTAACTTTTAGAATGCTCCAGCAAAATAGGGTGGTAACATTTGCTCTGTGTGAGGTCTGATGTATAACTCTGTCCTGGCTGGGAGATAGGACAAACATTCTGAATTTCAGTATAACCAATAATGTATTTATCCTGGAGTTTATTAAACCAGTTTCAAGTGAAAGCTGAAATACTTATTTGAATTAAGATTTTTTCTGTTGGATCTCTACTTTGAAAATGACCTTAAATTTGACAATGGCTTTGGCCTTTTGAAGAAATGTAAACTAATTTCCTGCTTCAGTTTTTAAAGTCATATGTGAAACCATCAAACTGCAGTGGTTTAAACTAACTGTTCTATGGAAAATATGTAAAACTTCCAAACATTTATTGCAACATGCCTAATAATGATTATGCCTGCTGCTGACTAATTTACAACATCTGTAAGATCATCCTTTAATCTCTAGCCACATGAAAGAAAACCGGGTAGACTTAAGGTAAGATAAATCCTGGAATGCACAGGAAATCATAGCATACTAAATTGGTTTATCAACAAAAAGAATAGTGCAAAGAAGAAGAAACAGAAGACAAAACAATAGAAATTCTGTACCTTGAATATTGTCAGACGTTTTGTGTACTCTGTCATATCTAGTTTGAGAAAGGCAGTATAATTTTGTTGTTAAGATTTAAAAAAAAAACAACAGTGAAATAAGTCATTGCATTGAGCTGTATTTGGTATACAAGCATTTATGGCTAAAAATCATATGCTTACGAGATTGTTCAGCTGTTGGGTTGAACATATGCTTCTTCTGTATTATAGTGCTGGATTATGTCATTAAAGAGTTCAGTTTCAATTTTAGGGTAATATGTAAATAGATCATTGTACTAAGGCAGCTGTTAAAGGGACCCCAAGATGAGTTATTTGTTTAGTTGGATGTGTTCAACAATAGCCTTTGTTCGTGAAAGAGCCAGAGCAAACAAATGATTGTAAAAGGGCACACTTGAAAACAATTACTTTTCACCCATTCCTTGACAGCCTTGGCTGTGAAACCATCCAAGGTAGAGAGGACTTCTGTGCCTGTCAGGCTATCAGGAAAGTTTTAGAAAAATTGATATTACAGTGTTTGACTGAGATGTAGTAGCCTTTCATAAACAAGGGGACATCGCAGAAAACTAGAAGACAAAGAGTTAAATGTCAACAACAGGGTGCAAAAATCTTACTTGCACCACTGCAATGTTGTATCTGCTCATCATGGTAGCTCCAGTTTTGCTCCTCAAACTGCAGTCAACGGTAGTGTTTTCATTATAAACACAAATCAATAAGTTGGTGAGAAACTCTCAAAGACTGGTGTCTTAACTAAGAAGCTGTTACAAAAATCTCTCCTGAGCACACTCAATTCTTTTTTTATTTTTTTTTAAGAAGTTGGCGTTCAAATTTATGCCACAGCCACTCCATCCTGTAGATATATGATGGAGTTTAAAAAACCTGCTATTGGAACTGTAGTAGAATTCAGTTTAAACAATGTGGTTTTAGCAAAGTTCCATTCAAATGTATTCCATAATCGTTTGCCATGCCTTTTATTGTGGAATGACCACCTCATTCTGCCAAGTATAAATTAACATGTATTTTGACATTTTTTCTAAACATATATTAATATGATAAAGCTGATTTGTGAGTTCCATAAATGTTCATCTGTGGTGAAAACAGTCTGATTTTAAATCCCTGTAAAATAATGTCTGTTTAAAAGTGTAATCTTTATTTAAAAAACAGGTTCAACAGCTCAGAAATAGCTACTGTGACATATATGGTCAGTTCCTCACATTGATATCAGGTTTTTACTACCCTTAGTAAAAAAAAAACAAACCAAACCAAACACCAAAACAACAAAGGTAATTAAAAGATATTTTCAAGGAATAGTAAGACAATAAACCCTTCAACTGAATGGGTATGGAAAACTAACCAAAATTCAACTTCCAAGTCACTGCATTCAGCCAATTACTACAAGGCTCTCCAAGCACTGAATAATTTTGGTAGCATATATGCCACTGAGACATTCAAACAGGGTGAATTAAGGACATATTTTCCAGCCCTTATTCTTTTTTCCTTTTTTTTTTTTCTCCTTTCTTTTCTTTTTTTTTTTTTTTTTTTTTCTTTTCCCAACTAGAACTTTCAGGTTATCTGTATGTGGTTAGTTTATAGTTTAATTCAATTATCACACAGGAGCTTAATGACATTGTCTCTAGACAACATGAAGAAATATATCTGCCTTGAATCTCAAACTGCTGCTGCATATGGTATGAATAAAGAGAGATCTGCAGCTGAAAACCTGTAGTAAGACAGTTCTCACTCATCTGGGAATAGAGGGGGTAGGACAAATGCTCCCTCAAAAGGCATGAACATTTGGACAGAGCTGGGGACTGAAGGAGAATGATGTTCTCCAGTTTCACCCATTAGTGAACCAACTAACAAACACAATGGTGTTGTTGTTATTCTTTTGCCATAAGCAACAGGACTCTGTGTGTGGGCAGCAGTTTAGTGGGGAGGAGGATAAGTCGACCCCTTTTTGTCCTATTGATTTTTTCCTATTTGCATGACTTGAGCAAATTAAATGATGCAATATGGCTTTTTGTTACAAAACAAAGTGAGAGATACCACCCAGACACATATGTTGATTCGTAGAAGCTGTTTACATGAGAATGGAGTGAAATCTACCGTGAACTGAGCATAAAAATTCGATTCAGGCTGGGTATTTTTTTTTTTATTATGCTTGGGCCAGCAAGACTGAAACACAAGTTTTCCAAGAGTCTCTCAGACCTTGACAACTACAGAGTTGTAACTGAGGAATTCTTAATTAAACCTAAACCAGGATGTGGGGAAAAGGAAAAAAAAAAAAAAAAAGAAAAGAAAAAATAAAATGACACCTGATTGTTTATTTCACGTGCAGTGATTCTTAATGACATTATTCAGCAACCTCCCTTCCTGAGCGTACCCCTGGATGCAAGTGGCCATCACAGCAGAGCTTATCAAACACTGTCCTGTGGGGTTAGGTGACCAGCTCCTTTGAAAAACCAAGCAACAGGCTGATAAGCAGGATTTAACTTGCTAAAGGATGCAGAGAACTGACAATTGTTAAGAAATCGGTGAGCAAAGAGGAGGTGCTTCCTTTCACATGACCGCAGCTTGAAACTGGGCAGGGAGGCTGCCAGGTGATGTGAAAAGAGAGACGGATGTCACAGCACCTTGGTACAGAGAAAGAGAACACGGTCATCGGGAGAGCTGTTAGATCAGGGTCCGAGAGACGAAACTTCAGGGGACTTCTGCAGTTCACACGGTAGGTACCCGTGAGACGTGCATGGGCCCGGAGGAGGCTGCACACCACAAAAGTTTGGTACACCGGCACCGTCTACTGCTACCCAAAACCCTTCCTGACCAAACATGTGGAACAAACTTGACAAGGTTTGTTACCCCAGAAAAAACAAACGGAAAGCACCGCTAGTGAGTGTGCCAACCCCGCTGCTGCCGGTCCCCGGACGGCAGCTGAAGCCCCTCCAGCTAGTCCACCTTTTCCCGGCACCGGTACCTGCTCCCAGCCCGGCCCTTGGGACCACACGGGGACAAGTCCGGCGCCCGTGCCAGAAACTGGCAGCGGACAAGAACTTCCAGGCAGAGCCGTCGGCAGCTGGCAAAGCGCTCCCCCCGCGGAGCGCCCGTCCCCTCCAGGGCAGCAGCTCTGCCGCAGTCAGGCTCCCCGCGACTCCTGAGAACATGTATCAGCACCAGTGTCATCTTTCTGCTTCGCCCTCACCTCCCAGGCAGAAACGGGCGGTCGCCCCGCTCCGCTGCATCTCTCCCCCCCGGGAACGCAGCAGGTTAGCGGCTGGTGCACGGGCTCCACGCGGGAAAAAATAAAAGCAACCCAAACCCCCAAAACACCCATTAAGGCCCCAAAGCTCCGGAAAGGCCGAGGCAGCCCTGGGGGTGCCTACCTTCGCCTCGGCGTGCAGAAGCCCCTGCGCGTCGGAGCGGGAGCAGCAGGACAGGCGAGGGTAGAGGCCGCGGCACATCGCCTCCCCGCCGGCCGGGGCCTCCGGGGACAGCACCCGCCGGTCGCGCTTCTTCAGCCGCCGCGGAGGGGTCCCGTTGAGGCACCTTCTCCTGCGGGCGCCGCTCTCCCCAAACTTGGCATCCCCCTCGAAGAAGCACAGAACCACGGCCACCAGCAGCAGCTTGAACGGCAGCATCTTGAGCATCATGCCTGAGGGAGCGTGTGAATGCACCAAAAAAAGGGGGGTGGGGGCAGAGGAGGGGAATCCCACGGACTTCTCTTTGCACTTCAGCTCAGGAAACCACCTCCCTCCCCCAGAAAGAGAAAAGTCTGGAGGAGAATAAGAGCGGCGGCAATTAAAAAGCACTTCGGTCACCCCCGCTTCCAAAAAGGCGGGCGCGGAGAGGCAAGGAGCTGGGCAACGAGCCTCCGCGCCCGCGGCGGGAGGATGCTCGGGGTCGGCGAACTTGCGCAAGCGGCACCAGGTTTAGCAGCTGCCGCGCCGAGGCGCCGAGGCTCGGGGCGGGCCGGGCAGCGGGCGGCAGCAGCCGTTCACTTGTCGTCCCATAGGAAGGGTGTCCCCGAGGCGGGACGACGGCGGCGGCCGTGCCGGGCGATGCCCCCTCCGCTGCGGCTGCGGCTGCTGCTGCTGGCGGCGGCTCGCGAGGGCTCTCATGTTTCGCTCCCTCTTTTCTTCTTCTTTTTAAGCCGCGCGCGGGGAGGTGCTGCCACCGCGCGCCCTGCACGTCACCCGGCGGCACCGGCCGCGCGTGCCGCCCGCGCCGCCGCGGGGGCCCGGCGGGAAGCGGCGGCGCCGCGCGCCCAGAGGACTCTCGCCACCCCCCCCCCCTGCCCCCCGCCCAATCTCCGACCCGTGCGCGCGCGCGAGCCGCAGGGGCGCTGTGAGGAGCGGGGCACGCGGCGGCGCCCCGCCCTTCAGCGTTCCCCCTGCGGCGGCGGCTGCCCGGGGGGTGCTGTGGTGTGGTGTCCCGTCCCGTCCCGTCCCGTCCCCCCCCGGGCCCCCTTCCCCTTCTGAAACGGGAGCCGGCGCTCCCGCAGGGCCGACGGAGGCGGTGGGCGCCTGCCTCGGCGGGAGCCGGTGGAGCCGCGTCGCTCCCCCGGCGCAAGGCGAGCGCCGTAGGTGGGTCCCGCTCCCCCGGCGGCTGAGGTACCCGGCGTGGGGGCAGCCGCCACTGGGCCAGCTTGGCAGCAGTGCCTTCCTGGGTCTGCGTGGCCGCACCCTCGTATCGCCCCTGCGAGTCATCTCCAAATGCCAGGGAAGGTTCCAGACCCGCGGGCTGGCGTCGACGGAACGCCGCAGTGGAGAACGGTGGGAAGTGCCGTCAGCTCAGGTGGCTTGGAGTGGAGCTCCGGCATCGTTGCTTCTGGTGAAGGTGCGGCAGGTTTCTGTCAGTGCAGGGACGCTCGCTCCTTCACCCCAACTGTGGTACAAGTTCAAAGCAGGACTGGTTGGTCATGGCGGCCATTGCTAATGGGAGAAGGGAGTGAGGTTTTGAGGGTGAGCGTGCTCCTGGACTGTGGGGAACGGGAGACCTGTGTGTGGAAGAGTGTGATGGACCGACCGAGTGTCTGGCACTTGGTGGCAAGGAAGCACCTGGAGCACCAGGAGCCGCCAGAAAGGGAAGGGCCAACCCAGTGTGAGGCAAAGTCGGGAAGGAGAAAACTGCAAGCCCAGGGTAAAGACCAAGGTTCCTCTGGGAGGAGGTGCTACAGGGTGCTGAGGTGGGAAGAGGGCCTTAGAGCTTAGCCAGGAGCTATTGGCTTCTTCCCATGAGGGAGAGGAGGGGGTGGAAATCCTCAGAAGCAGCTGTAGTGCGGGTGTAGCTACAGCTGCTGACTGGGGGGTAAAGGGCAGCTGGACAAATAGAGCCCTGAGGTGTATTTACCACAGACTTGCTGCTAATCCCTGAAATGGAGAAAAAAATGTCATAAAGAACCCCCTTAGGAGGGAAAAAGGGAAAGAAGTATTGCATGGAGTTCTTGATGTGCAGCAGTGTTTCTAAAGCAACTAGGGCCTGTTACTGCTCTCCTCACGTTTATTTTTAACCAAAGAAAATGAGTCTTCAGATTTACATTTGAACTCTTAAACAGTCTGCACTGAACTAAATAGGAATTTGGCGTGGACAAACAGTACATCAGATATATTCATTCCGTAGACATAAAGACTGTTTCCTCTGCCTTTAAGTGCATATTTTGAAGGCGAGTGGTCCCTAACCTCATGACCACCACTTGCCTTAACCACGGACTCTCATTTGGCTGGAAAAGATCCCAGCCAAGGCTTGAGCTACATCAACACGAAGGAGGGAGGCCTGTTGTACAGCAACGAGCCCCGGCACTCACACTGGTGAGTGAAATAAGGATGGTACCCTTGGGGTATCAGTAGCGCTCGTGATACAGCTTCCTGCTTTGTAGTCTTAGATGAAAAATAGTGCTCTGCAACATGTGAACTTGTTCCGTGAGAACCTGACTGGCAGAACTGTAGCAATGAAGTTAGTTTACAACAGCTATGCCACTTTTGTGACTGTGTATTATTACATAGGTGATTCTGAAATAAAAGTGATTCTGGTATAAAGCAGAATGGCATATCAGAATAAAGCCACTTTTATTCCCAAGCAGACTCCTTACAAAGGGTTACACTGGCAGAATAGTGGTGGCACGAAGACACAGCTGGAGGGTCTGTGTGCCTCTTTCCTTGTGTAGGCAGGTGCTCATACTTTCAAGTAGATTGCATAATTCTGCTCTGCATCTCCCTTACCAGAGCAGGGAAACTGAAACTCAGTGGAAAGACATGGCTGTGGGGCAGATACCCTCTTGAAAAAACAAATGAAAATTTCTGTTAAGCAATTGTGGCCCAGGCCTCTCAGTTCCCGTCTTGCTGAAGGAGAGAGGAAGTGAGGAATATAAATCTGTATGATCAAAGTAGTACAGCTATTAGTAAATAACCTTTCTTCCTCCTTCAAGTGCTGCCTGCATGAATATCTCTTTCTATGTATACCTGTACCAGTTCTCAGAGGAGGTGAGTTTGAGGTGTATTAATTAAATAGAGAATGATTTCCCAAAATGGGATTTAGATCAGGTTGCCAGACTAAGAAAGAGCTGACAGTTTGTGAAGGTCAGTTTCTACGCAGAAATTTTACACAGATCTGTGATGGGCAACATTTCCCAGAAATTCAGTGGAATGTACTGTTGACCTTGTATAATATGAAGTGCTCAAAACTTCAAGCTATGTAGTGATAGGGTGATATAAAGATGTATAAGCAAGACTTGAGGAAGGTTGAATGTTCTTTAAAACCTCTGAATAGAAATGGCTGATTCTTGCAGTTTTGTGCAGGAAGATCTGATTTAATCTTATGTTCCTTTCCACGCTTTCAAAGTACATGATGGCTTCTTTAACAAAGTTGTTGGTGTTTTTTTTTTCCCAAGCTGGTTGATGCAGGGTATTTTTTATGAACCTTTTTTAATAATACAAGGTTAAGGTCAGTATTAGTACATGCTAGTTCAGAGTGTCAACTTCAGGAGACTTCCAGCCTTTGATAAACAGAGATAAGGGAATACTTCTAAAGTAAAGACATATACATAGGAAATATGGTTAATAAACACATCAGTCTTTTAAGGCAACCTGGATTCTGTCATATAAAGCTCATTACTTAGAAATGATTAAACATGGTAATGGTGTGAGCTGAATACATTCTGTAATTTGTTCACAGTATGAAGGCTATAGATGAGAGTCTTTGGGGCATGGTGCCATTATGTGTGAAAGGGTTGGAAAGTTTTAAAAAAGGAAGCTATTGCTGCTACAGTGTTTGAATGTAGCTAGATTTTCTTCTAGTTTTGCCTAGGAGACAATCAAACTCCGCTTACTTATGCCATAACCCTCATTATCTGTATTATTATCTATAGCATGATATGTCGTGGTACCTGTATTGTGTGTATTGAATGTGTCAGAATACCCTCCCTTCAGAGGGTAGAAGGCTGATTGTGGCATGCACTTGAACTTACTATTTCTTAGATTATTTTATGTTTGTTGTCAGGCAGTCATACATATTTTGCAAGGGAATTTAATTGCTTTAATGTTTAAAGTCGGTGAATTCCTCAGTACTTAGAACAGAAGAGGAAACGTGTAGCAGCTAGTGTCAGTTTGGGGAAATACAGTTATCGTGAGTTTGCAGATAAGAGCAGAAGCTGAGCAAAATGATTTCCTGGCATCAGGTTTGTTAGAAGCAAGCAGTAGCATCAAGTTATTCCTAAACTCCCAACAGATGTTGTCTGACAGCACATATTTGCATGTTCCTGATTCACAGAAAAACTTCACTTGTGATCACCTCACTTTGACAATGAAGCCCATGAAGTGCGAGATGTGTCTTCTCAGCGATAATGTCAAGGCTAAATTCAATCTTTCTACACTGATAGCAAATGTCTGGCGTGCCATGAGGAGGAATGTTGCCAGGGGACAAACCAACACTCACCTGGATCTGCATCTGGGAAATTGTATTTAAGACACTAGTGTGGGAAGATCACCCCTCTGTATCAGGGACATTTCACTAGGTGAAGCAGGTGGGCTTCAGCTTCTTGGGAGAGTGGCTTTGCTTTTGTTTTAGCCAGCATTTCAGTTGAACTTCCAAAAAATGCTTTTGTCTTTGCCATTTATTTTGTTTCAGACCCACTTTCTTATCAGATGAAATGGGAGTGGAGCCTTTCCTTATCACTGCCCCTACACTTTTCACTGAATACCTTGTAACAATGTACTTGTTATTTGTAGCTCTCTCACTAAATTGTGGGATGTGTTGTGAAACCAGTGATTCTGTTTTATTGCTTAGGTTTAGGTAGTCCTGCAAGGAGCAGGGAGTCAGACTTGGTGATCCTCATCAGTCTCTTCCAGTCCTAGATATTCCATGATTCTATGATTTTGTTTTCTTGTTGGGGTCACTCTATGTCGCAGACCAGTGAGAAACACTCAGTCCCAGATTCTCCACTGTAGATGTTCAAAATGAGAGCACTCCAGATTGAATCCATTTCCAGATTCACTTCTGGGAAAAAAAAAAAAAAAACAACCAAAAAAAAACCCGAAAAAACCTCATTTTCAATCTTGTCTGTTTCATTTAGCAAGAGAAGAAGAATCTGTCTAAAGTAGTCAGTTCATTTAAACTACTTTGAAACAAAACTGAGCTTCAGAGTCTAAACTCTGAGGCTTCTGCCTCAGTTATGGCTGCTTGAAACTTAAAGGTCCCATCTCCCTGTTTTCTGTCAGCTAGATGGACAGAGGAATCTGGAAATTTGGAATGAGGGCTTGGGCAGGATTCTCAGGGTTTGGCATCTGGGCTCCTGTGCTTCTGGCTTTTTCTGGGTGAAAGTCTGACTGTCCTGAGAGTCCCATTAGAAGTGAAGCTGAGAGTTTTTTCTGGCTCTCTGCTGCATCACTGGGGCTAGGGTTCCTGTGGCTTCAAGGCAGAGAACTGGAATATCAGGAAACCCTGACTCTGGGACAGTCTTTATGGCAGGAGTTCCCCACAGCTGGGAACTGCACGTCCATTCGCTGTGGCAACTCCTCTGGTAATGAGGAAGGAAAACTGCTGGACTGTCTTCATTAAAGCATCTTGTGGTTAGTCAGAAGTTTGTAAAACCATTATATTTTTTGCTTATATTTCTGTTTGTGATGTAACAGATTTTTTTCAGTTTTGTCAGGACATTTTAAGTTGGTTCTATCTGCCATATACTATAGCCCACATCACTTCATGGGGTTGAGAATAACATGTTGCTTGTCTTTGCATACCACAAATACGAGGTGTGAAAGCTGGTATAACATGAATGAACAGGACTTGTTAGGATATTTTTTATGGGAAAATAGGTGCCCAGACAGTCACAGACAGGTTTTTAGGGTATGTCTCTACCACAGAGTTCCCCATGGCTCTTAGAAATCCTCTAAACCAGCTGAAGCCACCTGGACCATTTGGGACTGTAAACTAATACGTCTGCTCTCTAAACATGACTTCAAAAAAACCTGAGTCCCACCTGGGTACAAAAGCAGTATTAACTCCACTTGATTGGCCCATCGGAGAATATGAACTACAGATTATTTTAGCACATCAAGTCAGCTACTAACACAAACCTTCAATTACGTGTGTTCAGTTTTGCAACATAGGCTAGGCTAAGAAGGCAGCTAAAGCAAGCCATTTTGTGAGGGAATGAAGACTCAAGAGGCCCTCTTGCCTATAGTCTGCATACTTTCACTACCTGCTGTAATTCACCTCATCAGTGGGTCTCTATGTGTGTTACAAAGAGACAAAGCAAACTGCTGTGGGAAAATCTTTCTTTTCTACCAGGCACTGTAGTAATCCACTCCCTACTGCAGTTTACCAGCCACGTGTATGCTGTCCCTTGCTCCAGTGTTTGAAGTATCCTTAGCTTGCTATAGGAACAATTTGTATAGGATATCATCAAGGGAACTCTGAAATGCTTATAATAGTTCCCAAAGGAAAAAAGGTCTTTTTGAGTAAGATATTGTTCATGCCAGAACTGAATAATGGACCTAAATATTTGTGCCTGGTATTCTTTGTTGCCTGCTAAGTGTGGGGATGGAAACTGTAGCCTGACAGTGTTAAAACCAAATGGTCATGAAGCTCTGCTTTGAGCTGCTGGATGACGGGATGTCCAGTAGAATTCCACAGGTTTTCTCTGTGTTGATGCACTGCATGTGCGTTTCACTTTGTTACATAAATCAGTGTAAGTTATTTCATATTTGATATGGAAGCTTTGGTAAATTCTTTGTGGTAGCTTTCATATAATACATGTTAAGGTGCCATGTATAGCACAACTGCAACTATAGCATATGTACTATATGAACTGGGCTATTTGAGGCTACTTTCCAAAGGGTAAATAAACATTTTTAGGTGGAAAATAGAGGCAGCAACCATTGTCATATATTCTCCTAGAGTAGCATGTGTCTAATTCATATGTGTAATGTAGCTTTCAGAAATATATATTTAATTCAGTAGCATAATTTATCTTTCAGAAACTGAGGAGTTAATCTCAAATATATACGTTCCTCAAAAAATCGTTTTCAGAACTATTGAGTGCTCTGGCATATGGAGGAAAGTACCAGTATACCTAACAGTCATTCCCAGATGCATGCTAACAGTGTGCTAAAAATCAGTCATTTTGGCCTTTTAAGTGACTTCATAATGGTGCTGAAAGCTGCCCCACATTTCTGGCATCACACATGCTTCTGCAGGCTTAATTGCACTTCTGTGGTGTCTTTTTTTGTGCCAGTGCAATGTGTACGTAATACCATCTCTTTGAAGTGTCTGTTTAGCCTCCACTAGCCTGAGTTACAAAGTCTACCCTTAGTAACTTTTTCTATCTTGCTTCTCCAAACGGGCATTGAAAGCATTGGGTTGGCAGCCTAAATTCTGACCGAATGAAATAAGTCTGGAGTGAATTAAAGCTATAGTCTGAGTCCCAGTCATGCACAGAAAAAGTTGGAAGAAGCAGGTGATTTTGTAAACAGTTAATTCTTACAGAGGCTGTTGTTTGGGAACCCCTCATTGAAGTGATTGCGTTTGGCCTGCTTCTCTTCCCTCACACCCCCGTGGTGCACAACAAATCCCAACCATGTGGATCTTAGTTTATTTACAATAGTCAACCTTTAACTAAAAATTGGTGCTCAACATCACTGTAATTAAAATGGAACATAGACCCCAGCTTGGCTAGGAGTTTACGATGTGGCCATGAAAATACTTTATCCACATGGAGCACTGTCAAACGATCAGGTTTTGGGTCTCCCTGGTTCTGCAGGCTGACAGCTATTTTGGCAGCAGTGTCGTCAAAAACAGATTGGACCATGTACGTTCTTCTAAACCTAGAGCTGAAGAGTCCATTCACTTTAGTGAGAAATAAATCTAAGTAGGTGGTAGGTTCACACACAGGTGGCAATGTGTGAATAATTTATTTCGTTTGACTGAAGATGCATGAACAAAGAAGATCCTTGGATAAAGATGTAAACTGATGTGGATGCCAGATGAACTTTGACTGAACTTAAGGCCGAACCATATTTTAAAAAAATAAATAAATAACCCAGGATAAGGAGACACAATAGCAGATGCTGGAACCATCTGTTCTGGGACAGCTTTAATCAAAAACTTCTTTTGGTCTATTGTGTGTTTCCCCATTAGGTAGTGGTATTCTCTGTATGAATGTGGTCTGCCTGTGGTGAGATATGAACAATAATGGCCCTGACCTCCAGGTGAGTTGTCCTCAATCCCAGAATTTTAATATGCAGCCTGGCTTCTACAGAAGTTGAAATTCTGTGTGTAATCAAGTGATTGAGTTAAGCACTGCATCCTAACCTTAAGGCATGTATTACAATCACTATCAAATGAACTTTAAGGATGAGCTGTACTGCTCCACGTAATTTGTTACAGATGTGAGGGAATCCCTAATTTCCCAAGGAATGGTCACTGCAGACTAGATGTTGTTTGAATGAGGTAAACAGACTGCACTTAACCCTTACTGCAGGGGTTCGGTTCTGAATCTGGCAAAACCATGATTTAAAGTGGTCATGATTCCAGCATTTTGACTTTCCTACTCCCCATATATTTTTTTAGAGTAGGACCTAAATTATTATTTTAAATAGGAATCACAGTGTTCCAGGGATGGTACAAAGTCACAGATTAGTTTCTATGTCTGGGACAAGATCAGTAGGTATAGGTCACCACTCAGGTATGATAGAGTGTTGACTTCCATAAAAGACAATAGTCATGAACAATTTTTCATACCCATCCACTGGGATAATGATATTTAGTTATTTTTAATGTGGAAACACATTGTTTGAAGGACAATGTGTACATTATGGACTAGCTGTTGAATTTTGCTAGCAAATCATCAAGTACGGTGGAAGTCAAGTGAGTTTCTACTGCCATTCAACATTTTTTGGAAACTCAAGGGTCAGTTGGTTGTTCAGGAGGAATACTTTTTTCCAGCAGTCATTTTTTGCTAATACAAAGTCTGGGATGCTAGCACTGTACTGTCAGTGGAACTGTTTATGATAAACTTCTCTGAATATATGTAATGGAGAAAGGCCCTGAGGACATTCAAATCTTATTCCTCTGTCAGCTTGAAGAAGCAGAGGGACTGTGCCTGCTGTTCTCTCTGGGCCTGTGTTTTTTTATGTGACCTCACACCAAACGTTCAGTTCTTCTGGGAGGCTTGTGTGTTGCTCCACCAAGCATGGCTTTCAAAAGGGTTTGAACTTTTAGCATGAAGAGCACTTGTGTGTCTCAGGAGAAGGTAATCTGTACAAACAAAACTTTGGGAAACACTTCTAAATGACAGCTGTATGTTCCCTGAGAGTGCTGTTGTATCAAGAAGTCAGTGAACTAGTCTGGAAGTTTGTGGAATTAAATTGTTTTGACAGAGCTGAGTGGACAGGTAATAATCCTAAAGTTTCCTGTATTTTGGGGTAGGAGACAGAACTTCTAAAGTTTTAATAATAATTTTTAACCTGCTGTTAAAAATGTAATTTCAAACAGATAACATAGTAATTGTGAGTTATTTATATTTCTGGTTTCCTACAGGAAGGGAGTCAAATAGAACACTTCCAAAAAGAAAGAACTTCATGGGGAAGCAGTCTGTGCATCTCTTCTTTCTTACTGATCCTTAATTTAGAGATTTCTCACAGGATTCCACACTGTGTCTTGAGATCCACTTTCTTACAGCCATGAGGATGAGATTGAATTCTGAAAAGATGTAACATTTAAAGGGGTTAATTATTTTTATATCTTTTCTCAAAGTTGGCAGCAATTCACCCATTGATGGATAGATCTAAGCAAAGATCCTTTTAGTTGCAGAAAATAAAAAATTATTAATAAAAGGAAAATGAGGCTATCACTAAAACATAGGGAAAAAAAAATCATAGAATCACAGAATGGTTTAGGTTGGAAGAGACCTTAAAGATCATCTAGTTCCAACCCCAGGGACACCTTCCACTAGACTAGGTTACTCAAAGCCCTGTCCAGCCTGACCTTGAGCACTGTTAGGGATGGGCAGCTACAGGTTCTCTGGGAAAGCTGTGCTAGTTAGTGGTAAAATAGAGAAGGAAAAGTGAACAATGAAACCAAAATTCTTTCAGATACGCTTTATCCTCTCCACTGGGGCTTGATCTAGAGCCCACTGAACAGGTTCCCCTAGATTTATGAGTTCTCTCTTGATTGTCCCCTTATGATACACATTCTTCTAGCCTGGGCCTGAACTTCAGCTTTACACCGCCTTGATACATTATTTCTTATGAGTTCAAAGCTAGCTATGTGTACAATGTCTGTTTAGGTACATGCTGCTGTTTGTTTTTATACTTACGTTATTAATATTACATTAAAGAGGTCCATTTCAGTGGCCTTACTTGGACAGTGTGCACAATACTTCCATACTTGTTTGAGGCATATTATGAAGATACAGAGCACTTCATAAGTTCTAAGTACTGTTTATAATAGGATTTTTTTCTTGCATTCTCAAAGTGCCTAAGATCTTCTCAATAAATTATTTAACCAGACTGGAGCTTTCTGTGGTGTTTAAATGAGAACAGTGTTTCATTGTGTCATCTGGCATGTAAGGTGGAGTCATGGTGTGTGGCGATCTACAAACTAGAAAAGAACTGTAGTACTGCAGTTTAGATTATTGAACTGTTACTTGTGATCAAAATGAATTTTTCATTGGTATCAAATGATCTGAATAACTCTTTTAACATAAATCAATAAAAAAGGAGAGATTTTGTGCTTTTTCATATAGGTTTAATGTTTTATGATCTGCATGTACATAAACATTGTGGAATATTTATTATTGACCTAATGGAAAAAAACTGATGTTTTGTTGGATCAATGTATGTCACAAGTGTGGGAATACTAAAATAGTCTTGTTCAAGTGAATGATAAAAATGCCTTCTTTTTCACAGGTATAGCTTTGCATTTTCAAAACGTGAAATATTCTGGAGTTGCTATTTCTTGAATTTGCTTTGTTTGTGGAATTACAGCTTTGCAAAGAGCTGTATTGGTTGATGCTATGATTTTGTTTACATGTCTTTAGAAAGGAGACAATTGGAAATGATGATATCACTGTTTTACAGGTAGCCAGCACCCTTGGCTGTGTGAATTTTGGCTGAGAGGGCAAGGAGTGCTGCAACCCAAGTATGATTCTACCGCCAACTCCATCGATGTTTCATACTGAGAATGAGTAATTAGTTTTCACTAAAAAACTTTAGTAGACCCTAAAAATTATGAGCATTGCTGCAGAACTCTATTTGCGGGACCTGTATTGAGTTTCTGATAAAATGTGTATCAAAATTAATTTTATTTTCAAATGGTGGCAAGCATAAAGCAGTGTCTGAATCACTGAGCTTTTGGAAATTTACTGATTACACTGATAATACTCTAATGAGATACATAATAAAACAGAAAGTTGAATACAATTATTTTAAGAACCTTTATTATTTAAATCAGTTTAATATATCTCTACTCTTTTAAGAGCCTTGGAAGTTAATTTTCCATGTGTATTTTATGTGTATTTATATGTTGCCCTGCACAGTGGTAACCTACATTTGATTTTGTTATCTAATTCCTATTACAGTAATCTGTGGAGTAATATTAGAGTGAATTTTAAAGAAACTATGGAAGTATAGATATTGTAGAAGGAACATTTATTACAGTAGTGTTGTATATGGAGAAAATGCATGCTTGTTTCTTTTATTAAATGAAATGTCTGTAGGTAGTAATCAAGACTTGTTGAACTCTGGTGTGAACTCTGAGCTATAGATCATATTAAGAATGGTGACATCCTGGTCTTGTCCTGTCTATAATTCTTAGTAAATGAGTAAAGACTGTGTGTTACTAAAAAAAACCCAAACCCAGAAATGTTAAATTAATAGGTTGATTCATTTACTTATTGATTGTATTAATGTAGGTTTTAAATTTGGGAAAAGGAAAACACAGCTCATTACTTCTCTAAGAGATCAAAAATTTCTAAGTTTCAGAAAAACTGAAAAATTCTAAGCTTTTGAAGAGTCCATGCTCTAACAATTAAGTAAGAAATAGCTGAGCTTCATTAAAACCAGTAGCACATTTGCCAGAACCTGTAGTGGAGGCAGATTTTTGTCCTTGATGTCTGAGGCATGGAAATTCTGTGATGGCCTTTAATGGCCACATTCAAGACTTGCTCATAAAACAGAAGAGGAGGCTCGACAGCTGTTTGAAACCATCATGTCTCTGTTGATTTTAGTAATGATAATTTCTACCAGCTAAGAATCTGCCCCAAGGTCTTTCAGTAAAGACCCTTCTGTGTTACTTAATTTGAAAGGCAGAAAAACATGCCCAGGAAATAAAACCAAAGCCCTTTGTGCTCTATCTTGTGCATTATAGTTTTAGAATATTAAAGTGTAGTGGCACTTCTGTAGCAAAAGAAAGGAAGGTGGCCTGCTAACTAAAGCAGGATGCAATTTCTACCCTCCATCTTTTATGGTCTTATGATGTCCTCTTTGCTAACCAGCCTCTCTTGTATTGAATTACTGTTTTCTCCTCAGTATTTTAAATTCTAAATATGGAAATATTGTCAGTACTTGTAAGGCAGAGTGAACCAGAAAAATATAGTATCATTTTCAGATTATACTTGTAGCGCTGGGACTTAAAATAAAAACCCAAAAAAACCCCCACCCCCCCAACAAACGAAAGAACTCCCCAAAAAACACCTAGTGCTGTTTCACCTGCAAATTTATGAGCTTTGGTACACATGAGCTTTGGTACACACTGAGAGGTCATTTCTATGGTGCCACTTCAGAGAGAGCCACCTAAAAAAGTGCTGATTTGGAGATGCTGTGGAAATACCAAAGATTCTGACTGTTCTTGGCCTTAACTGTAGGGGGAGTTCACCAAATCCAAAGAACTCTGAAGCGGTACTTCTCCCGTTTGCTGCCCTGGATGCTTTGCATGTGTCCTGCAGAAAAGGAATATCTCTTTATTGTTGATGTTTCCCTGCCACCCCTCCCCAGAACCAAGTGTTACTCAGTGGAATTCACCTTGCAGAACAGGAAGACTTTTTAAGGCTCCCAGTCTGCTGCATGAACATGTGCTGCATATGTTGTTTTGGTTAGCAGTTCAAGTATCCTAGCAAGTCCTACTTAATAATCTATCTGATAAGGCTTGATTGTGCTTCACTGTGTTTAAATTTTTTGGGGAACTGTTTAGATAATGAAAGTGCTTCAGGGCCCGCATTTGTGTAAAACTTCAAAATTAGAAAACACAGCTTTTAGTGTCTCAAGGTTTCAAGATTAGTGAAATACTGAAAGTATTGTAGTGTTTAACTGAATATCCTAACATTAGCATACATGATGCATATGTAAATAATGTCTGTTTGTACTTTCTGTATTACGTTTTGCTGGTGTGAGTGTTACACGAAATGGGCAGAAAGCAGTTTCGTATCTCTGTGCAGCAGCAGAACCTGCAGAAGGAAAAGGTCGTGTGTAGACCACCTAGGTTTCGTCATGGCAATAGAGAATTGTACCCTGGATTTTTTTGAAGATTCTTCTTACTTTTTCAGTGTTAAACAGTACTATCAAATTGTAGGTGGTGCTATTTCTCTTTGGCATTATGTTTCCATTAAATAGTGCTTATTGAAAGTAACGTCTTCCCAGACCAACAGTCTTACATCCATCTGGAAACAAAAATATGCATTAGATCCTAAGAACTGATCCTGGATAACTAGTAAAGTTTTCTTGTTGTTTTTATTATTCAGTAACATTGCAGAATTCTCCTATTTAATTGCTCATGCTTATGCAGTACAAATGATAGAATGCAAACTTCCACGATGTTCTCAGCCTTATTCTTAATATCTCAAAGCTGTTACTTAAAGGAAAAAAATAAAATATTCAAGCTACAGACCATAGCAACAAGTAAGGAATTCCAAAGGAGGTTACAGGAACCTTGTTAAAGTTAACATGTTTCAGACCTTCAAAATCCCATACTTCGGGCACATTCTTTTGCCTCACATCAGAGATATGCATGTGTGGTTGCAGTGATAGCATTATTGTAGCTGTGGTTGTTTAGGATTTTTTGTTTAAATATAACTCTTCCTTTCCCTTCTGCCCTGGCATTATTTTCACTGTTCACAGTGTTTTTACTTAAATTCTCATGTACAGAATTTTGATAATTTTAACTGAACAATTCTATTTCTTGTACTTATGGCACTTCATGTGAAACAGTTCTGCCTTCATTTCCTGTTTATTTTTAGTTGCTAATTTTCAGACTTTTTCCATCCCCTTGGGTTTTTTTAAAATCCTGTTTGGTACAAACCAGGGTGGTCCAACTGGCAGCCCAAGGAACAGTTCCATCTGGCCTGCTGCATTTGCCAAGGAGGAGCTAGGAAATGCCTGTAAGGGCATGCACTGCATTCACAAGCAAATGTTACCTATTGCTCAAATACATAACTATGCTTAAAGCCCCACTGTTGTGCCATGTCCACCCAGAAAAAGAGATTGGCAATAGACATCCCTTTTCCCAAGCACAGCCAGGTGTCTGGAGGGGCTAGCTGTCCTTTCAAAACAGTCTTTAAAGAGGATGCTACAAGTGGAAGCTAGCACCTGTCCCTAAAAAAGCTAGACCACTGTTTTTCCTGGTTAGATTAGTAAACTAGTAGACATGAGTGACAGGAAATCCATGTGTAAGCCCCAGAAGTTTTGGAGCTATTTAGACTTTTAATAGAGTTTTAAAGAAAGCCAATGTTATTAATTCATG